ACCCAGGGGACCGGAGGCCGGAGCAGGAGGCGACCCTCGGGCTTCGCACGCGGCTTCACGCTGCTACAGGCGCCGCAGCCAAGCCCGGAGCTGCCGCCCGCACAGAAAGTACCACTTAAACCGTGTTGGCTCAGCAGTCCTCTCCGGACAGGCGAACAGCTTCTCCAGCCCACGAACAGCGGAGGTGGGGCCCAGCCCGGAAAGGCCGGGTCAGAAAGCAAACAAAACAAAACAAAAATTCATGAGTTAGAAATTTGAAAATAAAGATTCAAGCACAGATGAATACTTCTTCCGACTAGAATTCTTTCTTATTTTTAAATTCTGCACTGGCGGTTGAACCCAGGTGCTCTACCACAGAGCTGCATGCCCAGCAACCTCGCTCCCTGGAGACAAGGTCTCACTGACTTGTCCATGCTGGCCTTGATTTGCAGGTCTCCTGCCTCAGCCTCCCAAACAGCTGGGATTTCAGGTGTGCAGCATCTCACCTAGATTGAAGTGTTTCTCAAGAAAGTTTAGGAAAAAATAACGGGAATGACATCAGCTCCTATTTCGTTATTTCACTCAGAGCCCCGATGTTCTTTCTGTGCTGTGTTTCGATTTGCTCTTTGGTGGTCTTTCGTGATCGTGGCAGGTTCTGCTGTGTAGTTGAGGCTGACCTTGAGCTCACCACGCAGCCAGGCTCTGGCGCCAACTGCAGAGGAAAGCGGTCACCTGGCCCTTTGCCGGATGCTGTCCCCCTCGGCCACCACCCGGTGCTCACACCTCGGCTCCCAGGAACCGGCCTGGCTGGGGACGCTCTGTGGGGCCGCAGAACTCTGTTCCTGCCCTGCTGCTGCGTGGGCCGAGTCCAGCAGGCCTGGTGCAGGGACTGCTGTCCCCCAGGAGAGGCGGGGTCCGAGGAGGGGCGCCTGGTCAGAGCGGAGACCTTCGCCCACCAGGCACCGGGCAGCTGTTTCTGAGCTGACTGAGGTAGGTGCCGTGTGGGCGCCTAGCTTCCTCTGCTAAACGGACCCTAAGCACAAGAGCTCAGAAAGCTGCCTGGCCGCAATGCTCCGGGCAGGCCGGGGCGCCTGGGCTGAGGCGTCTGTGACCGAGCTCAAGGCACCACAGTGCCCTCTGCCTGGACCGCGGGGGCCCTGCCTCTTCCACTCCGGCCCCAGGTTCTGACCACGGGTGTCAGACCCGGGGGGCCATAACAACACCAGAACTCCGGGGTCCAATCCCGGAGGCCAAATTCTCATAGGGTAGGATTTGTAAAGGATGAAATCCCGAAAACCTCTATCCCCCTCTCCCCTTCCGAGAGGGCGGGAACGCAGATGGGGTGGCGCCGTGGGGAGGTCAGGCAGGCGGGGCGCAGCAGTGCAGAAGGCGAGGACGCGCGGCCAGGGGCTGCTGTGCAGGGCCCGCGGGATGCGTCCAATCCCGGAGGCCAAATTCTCATAGGGTAGGATTTGTAAAGGATGAAATCCCGAAAACCTCTATCCCCCTCTCCCCTTCCGAGAGGGCGGGAACGCAGATGGGGTGGCGCCGTGGGGAGGTCAGGCAGGCGGGGCGCAGCAGTGCAGAAGGCGAGGACGCGCGGCCAGGGGCTGCTGTGCAGGGCCCGCGGGATGCGCGACGGCAGCCCTGGAGTCAGATCACGACCCGGACAGCCACGCCCGTGAGATTCGGGCATGGACGAGGCCGGGTGCCCCCCTCCGTGAGAGGGAGCTGGCCGCCCACAGCCTCCCCGCGATGCTCTAGCCATAGTTTAACTTTCTTTTTAGTCTGAAAAACGTTCTCCATTATTTTAAATTCCCAGCAGCGGCAAGCGTGGTGGTGCACACCTGTAACCCCAGCACTCTGGGAGGCTGAGGCAGGAGGATGGAAAATTGGAGCGCAGCCAGGGCAGTTTAGCCACTCAGGCCCTGTCTCAAAAATAAAGAATTAAAAAGGCTTGGGATTGGCTCCGAGAGGAGGTCGTGGGTCGCTGCCCAGTGCCGGGATGGATCACTTCGACTCACGCTGCCTGCCTTTCACCCGCGCACCGTCGCTCGCCGGGCACCGGCTGTGCACGCGCAGAGTTCGGGCTTTAAAGCTCTTTTCCAACATCAGTCCTCGCGAGCGCGCGCACGACACCCACTGTGCGCAATGAGCGTGTAGAGTGAAGGCTCCTCGGGAGCGGAGGCCCCGCCGTGTGGACCCCGCCCCTGGACGGTCCCGGGCGGTTCTCGGGCTTTGCTCACAGCCAAGTTTTTCAGGTTGACATTTGATGGTTTTACCAATTTTACTAACAGATGGCTCTCAGCATGGTTCACAAAAGCTGGGTCTGTATCATTCCATATGCTAAAAGTTTCTTGTATTGCACATTTAGCAGGGAGCTGCCTCTCCCTCACAGGCGTTTACAATTACATTTAGTATTTAACTGCAGACTCCATCCCTTTGTTTTATAGACTTCCCTTTACTGAAAGCTTTGCTTGTAC